AAAAAAAAAAAAAAAAAAAAAAAAAAAAAAAAACAGCAGACGTAAATTGCTTGCAGAGTTCTGCGGCACAATGTTTATACATCCTCAATTAAAGTTAACGCCATTTCTGTAGTACTCACTTTTGGCTGAATCAGAAAAGTTGTAATATTTTTGCGTATTACAGAAAAAAAATCTGAAGAATAAGAAAGGAAAAGGAACAAACAACAGAAAAGACTAAGGTAGTAAAAAAATTAGAAATAGTGTAGAAGAAAGACCAATTAAAAATAAGAAGAGGAAAGGAAATGCAAAACGAACTAACAAAACAATAGATGAAAATTAAGTAAGAAGAAAGGATAAAGAGAGCTTTTTTCTTCCTTTTTTTTTCTTGTCATCCTCAACCACCAACTGATTTGCTTACAACATTACTTAAAGTAAATGGTATCCATTTTTTACAAAAAAATCTTTTTTTTGTTTCTGTTTTTCCTTTTTTTTCCTGATATTTCTTTGCTTTTTTATCCCTAATCGCATTCGACAAATTATATCTTTTACCAAAAATAGTTCTAACAAATGGCTTAAATAAACAGAAATTAACTACACATAATAGCAAATTTATCTAATGTAGCAAAAAAAATTTTACAGTACTTTGTTCAACAGATTTCGCGGATTAATCACGTAGTTAACCATTTTCAAAAATATTAATGCAGAATCATCAAGAAAATTCTAGACATTTTAGTGTGTCTCTTCTCGCAATGTTAAACATTTCAGATTTAACAAATACTTGTTAAAAGTTTGTTTTTTGTTAGAACACTGATGATCACTTAAGGATCTCAAGGTTGGTTACTAAAATGAAAACTTTTAGAATACGTTTTACTTGTTTTTAAATAGTTGTTTGAAATTGCAGATTTTTGAATCTTTTTGAAGCTCAAAAGTAAAAAAAATTTTTGAGAAAATAACATTTTTTTTTAAAACGAAAACGCTTCTCAACAATTTCATTTATATGTTAAGGTAAGCTCAGAAACATTTTTGAACAGTGTTCAGCGAGTCAATATTTTGCACAAGACCAGTCAACTTCAAAATAATAAATTGATACGATACCCTTGATTTCCTTATAATTTTCTGCTACCAAAACTGAACAGTTCTGCGGATCACAATTTTATAATTCTTAAAGGTTTTTTTTGTTTTGTATCAGCTTCCCCACTTAGGTAAAAATACATTTCTAGGTATATCAATCTGTATTCACAGTGTTTTACCACTTATATTCTTTCGTCTTTTAAAATTCTGATGATTTTTCATTGCAGTTATAAGTGAAAAATTCATATTGACACATAAATTGTTGCTTATTTAAAAGTGCATAGATGAGGAGTAAAGCCGATGATGACGATGTCATAAAGGTTTTCTATTTGACGCAAAATTTCAATATCAGGTAGCTTTT